CAGGTTTGTGGCATATTAAATGATTAGAAAAGACCAGAATAAAAGTATATTTTAAATTAATTGTTAAATAAAATTGATATAAATATTTTTTTCCTAATAGACGCAAGCTATTCAAAATAAATTGTATCAGATTCCTTGAAAGTCGGAGGGTGAGACATGTTTTCTCAGCGATACATCCCAGTTTTTCATGATCGGTAACTAAATGGGATAGTCCACTTTGGGGGTAAACAGGATGATAAAATTTGTGGGAAATCCTTTCAAATTCATTGCTTTAGTGTTACTTGCCAATATGAAATTTGTACAATGTGATAAATATACCTTGTAAAGCTCGAAATTCGGGTTATAAGAACATGCATTTCTAAATTTCATTGAAGCAATCACATCTATTTAATAGAACATACATCCTAAATTTAGGAAAAGCGCAAAGAATTTCTCGTTACGTTTGGTGCAAAAAAATGTATCGTGACCCGCCTATCGTAATACTCAGTAGACAAATGGACTGATGTAGAAGTCAAAAGAAGTGCAGAAATAGATAACATTGACATGCCTAAATATGGAATTGCGTGGAATAAAAAAGTTGAATACATATAAAGATAAAGAGAGTAAACAGTATCATCTATTCAAATTATAATGTAGTATTATCAGTAATGAATGATCTCCTCTAACTGTTAAAGCTCAAGTAACAAATATATACTGAGATATTCACTTTCGGTTTAGTGGCATGGATTACAGGATGAGCTGTCAATGTGGAAAAAAGGCCATGCACAGCCCGTAGTCATCAAGCAGATTGGATTTTTCAACTTGAATAAATTACACAAACACTCTGGATACAGAATTAGTCGTGATTTTTTTCTGGCCAAGCCCAGATCTGTTTGTTTAGGTGAGTTCCCCCAAAACACGTTGCAATCCTGGCTTTTTTTTTTTTTTTTTTGTTGAAGGTACATGAGTCACTGTAGGAAATTTTTGTACGGATTATTTTTTTTTGACGATAAAAGCTTCAGACTCCTGTAATACAAGTCATACTTCCCATCCCACCCCACCCCCTTTTAAGGGAAAGTTTGTGACCACTTATGCATTTAAGCTTTTTCGATAGTGGATCAATTGATTATTTGGTTTTTCTCCAGCCTCAGTGCTCATGTGAGCGATGTGGCCCATGGGTGTCTTGTGTTTGCTGCCGGAAGGTCAAAATACCCACATGCAACCATAGGAAAGAATAATGTTCCAAAAAGTTTGAGCCCCTCCTTTCCGCCCCCACCAACCCCTTCAACTAGAATTTAAAGTGTGGTGCACAGGTTTCTTGTGTTTTATTTATTATTGTTATAATTAATATTTTTGGGGGCTTTTCAACTCATTTTGGGGGTTACCCCCTTTCAAATCGTTACAACGTTCTTGGACTGTCTGCTGTGTGATTCTTTGCATGAGTATTGGGGCATGGCCCTGGAACACCCCCCCCCCCCTTTTTTCAAAAATTGCTGGATTATCCACCTGAATCTTCATTACTGTCAAAGTTTATTCCGTTTACTTCCTGAGAAATTCTGTAATCAATTTCAAAACTGACCTACTTCGTTTTACTCGAACTAGTGGAATAGGTGCAAAATATTCACATTTTGAACCGGGTACCGTAGTGTGGAAAAATTGATGCTGGCTCATGTAACTTGCAGTAGGCATAATGATTTCGGGTCGGGATCGGCCTTATAGATCTCTGAACAAATATCGCTGATTTTTCCCTGGAAAGTAGAGATGATGACTAATTTGCAGCTTATTCAAAGTATCAAACGATGTCTTAACATACAGAAGTGAGTAATTAAAAGGTGTAGATTCGATTTATTATGTCCATAAATATTTTTATAGTGGTATATGGTATTTAACACCTGATATTTAAAGCTGAGATCTCCGATTCGTAGGTAACAATGTGCTAAGCACGTGATGTACATTTAGTTCTTTGCAACACAATTTGCTGTTTGACAAATGTAACAAATGATTGTTGAATTATCATGAGGTTTTTGATGAGATAATATGTATTAGTACCAATTTTAGGCCCATCAGTAATGATCAGACAGGGCAAATATCTAGCTGGATACAAAATGATACCATCACCATGCACAGCAGCATCTACGCACGCGTCGGAAAGGGGGGGGGGATTTTTTGAAGTGATTACATAATATGCATTGAAAATTGGGGGTTTACGTGTTTTGGTGGTTTAGCTCCCCCTTTCAATTTGCTTCCAATGCCTATGACAATTGAAACTTCCTCATACATGTCATATCTCAGGAATAATTAACTACTATATGTAGTGCTCTTAAGTAAATAAATTACCATAGTTACAGCCAACTTGGCTTAAAGAGGTAAACTATCTTCGATCAACACAGGTAAGGGGATTTTTAACTATGATCAACGCTTAATGAAAACACAGCTGTTAAGTTTTATAAATTTAATAAAGTGAGAATTAACATGATTAACCTTTGTAAATAATAAAAAATAAATATTATCAAAAATTTAACAAGTAGACTAAATAGTAAAGTCTGAAAATTGCACAGGAATAAACATGATGAATAAAGCTTTATCAAAAATATTATATAATTTCATTATTTGGCAAGAATATAACAATACTCTCAATAAATAATCTCAATAAATAAATAAGAAGTTGTTGAAAATCTAATAGAAAATGGGCTACATCACCCAGTCTTCTTTGATCTATTTTGTCCATTGTTTCTGTGATTCTTTTTTTGGAGAGGATTTTCATATTTCATATGTATATTACTATATGGAGGACTACTTTTCTGTCAGAGGTGTCCTTCCCTTATGCTTATATTGGTCCACGGCACCTTTTTTAGTCTATTGGTGCACAGCCCTCACTTAGTGAGGGATGAGGTCTTATAATCGCCACCCGGGGATACATAAACGCCTAGATACCAGCCGTGCAGCAAATTGTAAAGCTCATGGCAAGACATTCACATAAAAAAATCTTATTTGTATGTGTTACAAAAACTTTAACTTTGGTCATACCTTTTGAATGAGAAGAGATAAGATTTTCATATTTCATATGTATATTACTATATTGACCTTGAAACTTTTGACAGAGAGGAGATGGGGCTTTTAAATTCATATTAAATTTATATTTTACTTGTGAGTGGTCATGAACTAAATTTTCACAGCAGTAAATATAGGAATCGGCATGAGGTCTTATAATCAAGTTGTAAAAATTAGTGATACATAAACTTGATAGATGCATGAACAGCAAATTGAATACTTATTACTGAGTGCAGAAGATTGTTATTATTTGCTAAACTACCCAATTGAAATCTTCTAATGCAGTGGTGGTCATTAAACAATGTTAAATGATACAATTATTATATGGGTCATACTCTTGTTAAATATATATCACACTACAGGGTGTTGCAAACAAAATATACTGACTCTTATTTCTTGTATTTTTTTTTGAGAGGTTAATTTTTATCTCTTCATTTCCAATATAAAAACAAATTACTGACATAAAATGTTACATAAAACCTACCGGTATGTTTTACTTCACTAACTGGTTGATGTATCAATATTTTATCAAAAGTAAAATTTTATTCTCAGAGGTCAATGTTCGTGGGTAGGCAAAATTTTGTTGGTTCGTGGGGACGTAATTTCGTGGGTAACTCATATATACAGAACATTCAATGAATAAATATGTTTACAAAATAAATGTTCGTAGGGATGTAAATTCGTGGACAAGGGTGAGCCACAAAATCCACGAACATTGGTACCCCACAAACAATGATGATTCCACAGTATTAAGTAATAAATTAGGAGAAGATGTTTTCTAGTGGGTTGGATGATCTAATGCGATTTGAAAAAAATGTTACTTGATAAGAAAAATTTCCAGCTTCGAGATCCAAACTCCAGCTGAAAAATTTCAGATCTCCAGTTGTGATTGTTCAGTAATGAGTTCTGTCACATGTATGCAAGTTGTGACAAGACTTTCTAAATATTCTAAGATTTTTTTTATCCTGTGACCTTAAAGTTTGATCTTTTTTTCATAAAATTTTAACATGACTTCATATTGGTCACTTGTAACTTGGCCAAATATATCCTAATGACATTAAATACTGGTGGAAATTCAACTGTACACAATATATTTCTTCTTTTGTGTTCACATGCAAACCATCACTTTTTCTATATTCAGTTTGTTTCCTTGCCCAAGTGACGATAGATGAAACTGTATCTTTACGTCTGCTTAATGTTGAGAAATTAAGCTTTTTACACATCTTTTTGTTTGATGTCTTTTTAATTTCTCCTTGATCTCAAATATTGTTTGCTATATAAGTAATGTGATGATGAAGTTTTGATTTAGATAATAAATCATATTATGGAAAGATGCTAAACAGTTCCCATTTTGAATGAAATATTGAGATCTTTCCATCCTCACAATTTTAATGGTTCAAATTACAAAAACTGCATTTTCTTTTCATTTAATAGTTTAAATTGATCAAGTATTGCCAAAAAAAGAGAAATTATAGGACACCATATTAGTTAAGATGGGAGACATAAATAAACAGAAGTATAATATTATGTCTATATAGAAAATTTGTACATTTCTTGTAAACATTATTCTAAAAAATAATGTAAAAACTGTTTTAAATGCATAATTCTGATGCTTAAAGTTCTAAATTACTTGCTTCTATTAGATACTTTTGAATTCTGAAGGTAAGAGAAACTAGTTTAGAAAGACAATCCGCGAATGAAGATAACTGAGAAGTTATTGCCCTTGTCAACATTTTTAAAAGAATAAATAATTGATTAAATAAAGAAAATGCACATTTTAAAAATTCTTTTACTTTACAATATTTATCATTTCACCTTTTGAAAATGATTTTAAAAAATATTTTGTTTTTAGGGGGTATAAATTTAAATTAAAAATAGTTTTTTGCAAAAACCTATGACATCATCATATTATGAGAACAATACATTTTTAAAACTATTCCTCTGTTTGATCATTAAAGAACAATTAAGTTCTATCTTGTTCTTAAATAAACTTTAACAGCTTCATGATAGCTGTAATATACTGACATGGCCTCTACTCTTGCTTCCATCTCCTCTGTAATGTAAACATGATCTAATATTGAATTTCCGTCTGTTGTTGCAAAGTTCACTTTCTGTTTAAATCCACTGTTTTCTAACATTCTTTGAATTGGTCCTTTGGATTGTGCATCTTCGTTGAAATCACCGAGTATAAGGCATTGAGAAAACAATACTTTATAAAAATCTAAAACTCTCTGAAGGGAGTCAAGGAACAAACTGACATTGAGAGAACTTGGTCGATATACTATGATGATAACCGTGTCCTCCTCACAAAGTTCTACAGCCATTCCCTCAATATTTTTCTGAGATAAAACATTAACCAAAACTTTTTCGTTTCTCTTCTTATAAACACCTACCCCTCCTCCTTTGGACACTCGAAGTTTAGCAAAACTGTCAACACTTTCATCATATGACTTCTTCCTTGTTATATGGTTGAATTTAAAGTCATCAATTTCAAAATTTTGTATTCTATCATTGTCTGTCAGCCATGTTTCAGTGACACAGATAAGGTCTGCTTTGAGGAATCTTGTATCACTTTTGAGGTCAAGAAAATGTGCTCTTAAGCTTTGCACATTAAGTAAAACAATCGTTTTTAAGGTTTGATCATCATAGCAGTTCAGATAATCTTGCTCAGGGACTAATTTCTCCATCTTAGACAGTGCAGCCTTTATGTCTGGATTAGCATAAATTTTTCTCAGTAATGCCTTTTCATCTTTTGTTTCTATGAATAAACCATTTTGTGAAGTGACACGGCTAACAGCAACATATGCCTGTCCTGGAGCAAATGTACGATCCAAATTTACAACAACACTCTTTGTTGTCATGCCTTGAACTTTATGTGCTGTACATGCCCAAGCGAGTTTCAAGGGAAACTGATGTCGTACAACATTCTTTGAATTTTTCTCCTTGATGTCTTCTTGTATTCTTTGAATCAATACTTCGTTTCCATGTGGTGTCTTTTTCCCTTGCAGCTTTCCAATGTCTTCACTATCAAACAAAATTCTAATCCCTTCTACCCTATTTCTTTGCTGAGCTTGTCCAAAATCAAAAGCTGAAATATGCCCCATCGCACCATTTACAAGTCCGTCTTCCACATTGATATTTCTTGTCAGCATAACTCTAGCATTCACAGAAAACAGCAAAGAAGCAGAGAGCCCATCTGTTCTTGTCCGTATGAAGGGTTTTTCACGTAAAGTCAGCTTTCCTGTAGTATTATCTTTTTGATAATCTTCCGCAGATATCTCTATCAATTCTTCACAACTTGTTTGCAACATCTTTAGATTATATTCATTTACTTCTTCATTTGTAGGATACACATGCAGTACTTCGTCTGGTCCATCTCTGATGCACTCTTTTAGCATTGTTTTCGCCTCTTCTGAAAGTGGTTCCTCTATCGTTCTGATCCGTAGTGAATTCAAAACTGTAGCAAATGCGGCATCGTCACGTTGTCTCATTATTTCTTTTAACTCAACAATTTTGAAGAAGTCTAACCAGTAGTCTATGGGATATTCATCATTTTGTTTGTAGAGTATTTCCAACTTTCGTTGTTTCACAGGAGGTAGTTGGTAAAAATCTCCAACTGCTATTACAGAAATACCACCAAAAGGTTCCTTGCATTTCTTGATTTGTACCAGTCGTTCATGAATGTAATACAAAAGTCGTTTGTACACCATTGAGACTTCATCGATTACTAAAATCTGTAGAGAAGCCAACTTCGCTCTCATTGCACTCAAACTCTGTTCTTTCAAGGGTTCGTATGGAATGGGTAGAGCTTTGGTTAAAGAAAATACGTGGTGAATTGTGTTTCCCCCAATGTTGAAAGCAGCAGTTCCAGTAAAAGCTGTGAGAAGAACAGATAAATCTGAAGGAGATGAAACAATTTTCTCAAAAATTCGAGAGGCCTCATACTGTATAGTCTTTATCAGGTGACTTTTTCCTGTTCCTGCACCTCCGGTAACAAAGATATGTAATGGTTCTACTTTCCTGTCAGCTACTTTTTTCAAGCACCATTCGCGAACTATGTAGAAAACTTGTCTTTGTTTATCATTTAAATTTCGCAATAAAGGCACAATTTCTTGCCTTGAGTTTGAATTTTCCCTAATATGGTATATCAAATCTGAAGGGCCATCATGTTCAATTTCATGAGTGATTTCTTGTTCTTTGTTTTCTGATTGTTCTGTTTTTCTCTTTTCATTTAGACATTCATCTCGATTTCTTTCAGTTTCTGGACAAAGGTTAGCCCAAGCATCTTCAGGTTCACCATAAACTTCTAGAGTTTCCTGAGCATTTTCAAGGGCATCCTCATTCTTTGAGAAATTACAACGATTGTTTTCAACCACAATCCTGACAGACTGTAATTTGAATTCAGTTCCTATTCTGACAAACCCCTCTTCGTAAAATGTCTGATAAAATTTGAATCCAGGTGGTTTTAATTGATCTTGGGTCCAGTATGGAAGAAAAAGCTGTAGTATTGACTGATAATACTTTTCGGATGCATTTTCAGGATTGAACCTTGGATATCTTACTATGGCTGGCTTAGCTCTTGTTCTTCTCTGAATGTAACCATTTCCATTTTTCAATTCATAAACGCCTTCTTTTACTCCCTTGGGAATTTCAGATTTTGCCAAAACACGATACTCTGAGCAAAATTCTGCAAGGCACATTTCTGGAAAAGTTTGTAGATCAGGACGATTTTCATATCTCTCCACTATATTTGTCATCCAAATACTTTCGTCATCATCTTCCATATCATCTTCGTTCTTACGTGTTCTTTTCATTTGTGAAAGGGGTTTACTTAATCTAGTCGGATTTTCACCAACAGGAACAAACACTACTTTCCTAGATCCTTCTTTCATTTTTAGATTACAAACTCTGTACACTGCTTCTTGGGCACTCACTTCTCTATGATTAAGATAAGCTGATCCAATTTTTCTTATTGTCTGACGAGCACTTAAATTTCCCTCTGCAGATTCTACTTGAGTTTGTTTCAGCAGCATTCCCATTTCACGTTCTGACTTGGATATGTATGAAATTATGTACACAATGCAGCTAAATGGGTCAAGAATGTACTGTATGTCCATATTGGCATCCCAGCATTTGAGAAGGCATGCGTTGTATTGGTTTGTCCACATTTCATCAGGATTTCGAATCAAGATAGTACTTGTTTTTGCAGATAATACCCTATGTGCCCTTTCGTAAGTATCCTGTGATAATTGCATCTTAGTGAATATTTCTTCTGCAGTTTTGCCTCGATTCACATCATCAAGAACTTCATTCCAAACATGCATCAAAATATCTTTAGCCTGAGATTTACTCAATCCGTCAAATTTCTCAGAGTCCTCCTCATTTTCCTCACATTGTCTTGTAATAAAGGTTCTTTCTGATGGTGGTCTTGGAAAGTGGAATCGACAGTCTGTACCCTTTTTCCTACAGGATTTAGAATGGTTCTTACTATGTTGTTGAACACCTAACACAATTTCTCGCAGCTCTTGGTCATCATTTTCAGCAGGTATAGCACATGTGATATATTTATCAATGAAATCACAAACAGTGTTATCATCATCTTCATCAAATTTTGGTGCATTCTCAACCCAGTACAAGCAATGCATGTGTGGAGAGCCCCTTTGTTGAAATTCTACTCTAACAAAGAAATCAATAACATTTCCTATTGGTTTTGATGGTGACAATATTACATGTCTTTGAAACATATGGAATCTATGTTCAAACATTCTGGCAACAGTAACTGGATTGCTTCTCAAAATTTCACTCTTTTCTGACCAGTCTAAATCAGAAGGGGATCTAGAATCATTTTCTTGAAGTAAAATCGATCCAATTATTTCGTTCCATCTGAATTCCGCTGCAGAAAATGAACAAAACCATGTTGGGATGCCTAACTGTCGAAGCATAGCAAACAGATCTTTCTGAGAAGCTGACCAATATGCAGGAGTTCCTCTAATAGGTTGCATAAACCGTAAAGCCTCATCATTCCTTAAGAGTTTTGAGAGAACATCTGGATTCTGTAACATTTCAGATGTTACTGCATTTCCACTATCAAGCTTCGATAAAGACTTTCGAATTGAAATTTGTGTTTTCTCGATTACTTGGTTCAATTCTGACATGTATTGAGAAAAGAAGATGTAATTTGTGTCCTTAGCAAATCTGTTATCAGCATTCATAAGTCTGTTGTTAAAATATCTTGATAAGGTTATTTTTACATCTCGATCTTCATTCCAAGAAAAGTTGCCACTTGGAAATAAATGTGGAAATGATTTTGCTTCGTTTCCTTCTTCTTGCAACATTCGGATTGGATTTTTCCCTTCACCTGGTGCTATATTGTAAACGTCATCAAAGTAATGATCAAGAACTTCTTGTGCCACATCTACTGGCTGTAAACAAGTGTCAGTAACAACTGGATTTTCATCTCTCTCATCTTCTTTCACTTCTTCATCTAAAAATTCACGAGTCTCATTAAATAGCAAGTCATTTTGATCACTATTTCCTTCCCACAAGGTGTTTATCACTAGGTCTTTATACCATTTGTTTTCTTTCCTTAAATAATCAAGAGCCATGTAAACATGATTTGGATTAACAAATTGGTATTCGTAATAGCCCTTGTACGCTAGCTTTCGTTTTAGCTTAACTCTTAACAATAAATTGTCATCCCCATTTCTTGGTAAAGCTGTTGCCTTTTCCATATTTGATGGCACACAAACAACAGGCCCATGTACATTCCTTTGACCACCTTGTGGAAGAGCCATCACTTTCATGAAGGGAATATGCAAAGCAATTAAATGCTGTTCCAAACTGTTTAAACTGCTAAGTTCGCATGGAATTTCCTCTAATGACATTTTATTAACAGCTGCCTCTGCTGGAATATTCCCATTCAATATTTTCCTATGACAAGTAAAGCATATCCACAATGATGACTGGGGGCAATGCACTGGACAAGACAGATTACAATCATGAGAGTATTTTTTCTGTATACAATTCTGTGCAATCTTGTAAGCTTCATGTCTTTCTTTGTACATTTCAAGTCTGCATCCTTGGACTTGATGTTCAAACAGTAAACGTTGACAACAGCAACATATGTAGTCTGGACCATCTCTCACACTTTCCTTAAACAATTTCACAACTTCTTCATCATCTTCCAACTTTACTTTTAGGGCTCGTCTCTGATTCAGAACATTCTCCTTCTTCTTCTTTTTCTCAGCAGCACTAAAATGATACTTTACTTTATTAACACCCTTAACCTTATGCTTATGTTCTTCATCATTTTTGTACTTTTCAATACTTCTTTGTTTAACATTCAATCTGTGTACTTCATCATTCCTGTATTTCTCTGTACTTCTTTGTTTTACATCATTTCTGTGTACTTCATCATTCCTGTACTTTTCTGTACTTCTCTGTTTTACATCCTTTCTGTGCAATTCATCATTCATGTACTTTTCTGTACTTCTTTGTTTTACACCCTCTCTGTGTACTTCATCATTCCTGTATTTCTCTGTACTTCTTTGTTTCACATCTTTTCTGTGTTCTTTATCTTTCTTGTACTTATTTATACTTCTTTGTTTAACACCCTCTCTATGTACTTTATCTAACCTATATTTCTCAATACTTCTTCTCTTCCTGTATTGTTTATGGATACCATCTATTACATATTTCCTTTTACTAGCTTCCAAGCTCCTCTGTTTTGCCTTTGCTTTGAAAATTCCATCACTTTTATATCTTTCCTTTAATCTAAATTGAAGGTCAGTCTTGTACTTAAGTTTTGCTGCTCTTAATTTCTTTTCTGTGTAATTTTCATTCTTCAGTTTCTTTTCATGATTTGTACTTAATTTTTTCATGGATGAAAGGATACGCACTTCCCTCATACGATTTCGATTTCTACATCTTCTTTCTCTGTTGCTTTTCGTGCCAACATACTGGGAATTATTTTTCTTGGAACAAACCGTTTCTTTCTCCATAACTGTCACCACTACATTGTAATGATTCTGATCCTGATGAACTAAATAAAATGACCCTGTGCTTTGAACATTCATAGGTTCTACCTGTTTTCCTGAGAATGTAACCCAGTGATTTTCTGTATATGTATGTATATCAGTGCTCAAGAGGTGAGAGAGAGCAAGAATTTCCATTTCAGTTGCCCATGTACCATCTTTTGACATACCTGTTAAATTCAAGTGATTTTCAACAGAACTTTCTGTAGATCTTACAAAAGCTTCAAACAATATTCTATTTTGTAGTAGATGTTTACACACTGCTGATCGTATTGCATAATGATGATCTTCTACTCCAATCAAACAAAATGAAATGGCTCTGAAAAAACAATTTCCATCCCCTTCAATTTCAACATATTCAGTAGGTGCACCTGCTTCTTGCACAAAGCAATCCTGTTCAACATTACTATTTGTACCTGACTGTGGTATTCCCAGGGTCTGACAAAGCTGTAATTTCACAGAGTTAGAAAGTGGCAGAAAACTAATACTATGACTTTCACTGCTAATGAGTTCAACATCATCATTGGCAACTGACTGAAAACCATTAGCATCTGATTGAACATTTGCAGTCAAAAGGTCTCTGTTTTCTTGAACTGCTAAATTCAAGTCTTTATTCTGCTGAGTGTATTTTCCTGGCTCAATTTCAATAACATGTTTATCAGTTGTTGCAAACTGGCTAACTGAACAATCAACACCTGTAATTTCACATTCAGTAATTCCAGAAATTCCCATTGAGATAGCCAAGGACAAGATGTGATTGTAAATATCATCAACCGATTGATACAGTATCCTTGTACTCCTTCCACTAACAATCATACACCCCGATTGTGACCGTGAATGTGGATCAAATGTAAAGAAGCCATCCTCTGTTTTTCCAACCAAAAAAGTATTTCCCTTGAAGCATACAAAACACCCACTTGTTTCTCCAAGACCAATTTGCAATGCATCTGTGAGTGAATATGCATTAAATTCATCATAGTTTGGTTCTACATCTGACAAATTTATTAGGCTGCATAAAGATTCGCGTGCTTTGAACTCAAACGTTGTATTAAAACACTCAAAAAATTGAGGCAACTCATTCACAAAAAGATACCTACTGACAATGGTTGAACTACGCTGCAAGTACGTATAAAGCTCATCTCCTGTTGCTAACACTTTATTCATATCTGAAGTTTGCCACTGATTAGAATTCTTTACTTTATGGTATGCTAAAGCTGCTAAAGAGTTTGCAACACATTGTGTTCCTGCATTTTCACCAAACATTAAGTCACCTTGATGAAAAGACCCTTGAATACATACCTCTTTCAATGTTACTGGTCCATCTTTACTACCACAAGCATAGTCAACACCAAGTTCACCAGTACACAGTCTTCCAATTCTACATTCTGATTTATATCTCTCATATACATTCTCTATATTCTCATTTTCATCATGTAAATTCCTTTTAGTATACTTTTTAGATCTTGTTCTTTTACTCTGGTTTGCATCAATCAATATCCTGCTGGACTCATCCCCCTTAGAGGATGACATATCCAGCTGCGCCTGACCTGCTGAGCCAGACACGTGCACGGTGTCCGGCTCAGGTACCCTCGGCGAGGTACAAACCCACGGTGGGGAGTCAGGGGACGGTGCCATGCCTCCGTTTCGGGCACACAGACGACTTCCCTGAGAAGATGCGTTACTCAGGGCAGTTGGTTGCATTTTCTCGCGAAGAGAGGCCTGCAACCTGGCCAAGGGTTTTTCCTCAAAAGGCGGCAACCCTATAGAGCCTTGCCCCGGAAAATTACCGGGTGGAGCTGAGATAGCTCCATCTACTGCCCCAGCCGGGACAGCAGAATCTTGAGGAGGATCACCAAGTCTAGCATCTGGTGGTGGCAAGGACTGCTCCTGCCTCTTTTCCCTCTTGCGCTCTTTATCTCTCTGGCGTTTTTCCCTGCCAGTCAAGCTCTTTCTCTTTGGCATCTAAAAAATAAAACATTTTTCCCAGATATCAAAACAAGTTATTCATATTAAATTTGAATAAGGAAACCAAATAAAAAAATGTTATCACCTTTTACTGCATAACAATGTCTTTTATGTTCTACACTTTAAGCTATAGCCATTAACAGGATATATATAGTGTATGTGTACATAATTTGTTTTTTTTTTCAAAATTTAGTGCAATCTATGGATATACAGTTGTTGGCTTAATCATGAATTAGCACTACGCATGTATATCTGTATATTGATTTGAATTTATTCATGAAAATTTTCTAATATTCAAGTCCATCATTGCGCAAAAGCTGCTTGAAAATGAAGCCCTTTTTTTAAGTACACATACAGTACCCCTTTTAGGCCAAAAATAAAAATTTATTTGGTTGCAGTTGCCTCTGACCCACTGAAAATGCACTGACACTAACTTTTTTGTGGTTTATGCAAGAAAAAAAATTGGGCAATTTTTCATGGATAAGTAGGCCTATGAAAAGCTCTTTTATTTGTTTTCTAACAAAAATCTTTTTTTTACCTACTTTATACAACTCAGTTTATAGGTCGGCAACTGGAAACAAAGAATGATTATTGTTTTAATCATAGTTCTGAAAAATATTTAAAAACAAGAGGCCCAAAATATTCAATTTTTCAGGATATTGGAATTTCCCCCTTGTTAAGTAAGCCTATGAAAACCTATTTTATTTCATATCTAACAAAAATACCCCAGGATCCTTAAACAAACACAAGAGGCCCAAAGGCCTTGAAAGATTTTCAAAGACTTTTCCTGATATATTTCGTACTTTAATTTCTACTGTGTATCATGCTTCTATTAGAATCCTCCAAATGCTTCTAAGTTAGTATCATAAAGACCCCAAAATGCATAATTTCTTGTAAAACATTATTTAGCCAGTTAGGACTGGGGATATTATGAATAATTTAGAACATCACTGTAAGGATGCTTCACATAACTTTCAGTTTTTCTGGCCCTGTGGTTCTTGAGAAGAAAATTTTTAAAGATTTTTCTTATATTTTTCTATGTTAAACTTTGGCCCTTCCCCCGGGGGTCATGATTCAATTAAATAACTACCCCAGATGCTTCCAAAAGTAGGTCACCCATGACCTACTTTTTTAAATGATTTTTCCTATATATTCTATGAAAACCCCTAGTGGCCCGGCCCTTCAACTGACAAAGTTTGAACAATTTAGAATTCTACCCCCAGCTAACAACAGGATATCTAAATGTATACACAAAATTTGGTTTATTCAAAATTTAGTGCAAGCTATGGATATACAGTTGTTGGCTTAATCATGAATTAGTCCTACACATGTCTGTGATGCCATATATTGTACAAAATTTCTTGATTTTGTGAATTCAAGTCCAATTGTCTGCGCCAAAGCTGCTTAAAAATGAAGCACTTTTTTTAAGTACTAAGTACCCCTTTTAGGCCTAAAATAAAAATTTGTTTGGTTGCAGTTGCCTCTGACCCACTGAAAATGCACAGACACTAACTTTCTTTCAGTCATTTTATAAAAAAAAATAATTCAATTTTTCAGGAAAATGGAATTGTTTCATTTACAATTTTTGACTTTTGTTTTTACAAAGTGGTTTATGATTCCAGCTTATTCATAAGTAGGGCTATAAATATTTGTTATTAAAAATATCCATAAAAATTTTTTAAAAAAAAAAAGTAGGTCACAGTGACCTACCTTTTAACAATTGTTTAGGCCCAGGGGCCACAGCTCTCACCTGAAAACATCCTAGGAAAAAGCACATAATCAGAACTGAAAAAGTGATGGTGATGATTCATGAAGAATCTACACTACCTTAGGATGATTCCATATAAATATCACTAATCATGGCTTTGAAGTACTTGAAAAGAAGATTTTAAATATATTGGTTTCCCAATATATCCCTATGAAAACTTGGGTCGGCCATTTTGGCCCCACCCTAGCCCCAGGAGTCATGACAAAGTTTGATGATACCTGAGGATGATTTCAATGAGTTTTATCTTTCCTGTCTCAATGGCCATAAAATTTTCAAAGATTTTTCATATCTTCCTATGTAAAACTTGGGTCGGCCATTTCGGCCCCGTCCTAGCCCCAGGGGTCATGATTTGAACAAATTTGAATCTACACTACTTCAGGATGATTCCACATGAGTTTTATCTTTCCTGGCCCAGTGGTTCTGGAGAAGAAGATTTTTAAAGATTTTTCCTAAATATTCCTTTGTAAAACTTGGGTCGGCCATTTTGGCCCCACCCTTGCCCCGGGGGTCACAGATTTGAACAAACTTGAGTCTACACTACCTGAAAATGATTCCACATGAGTTTCGTCTTTCCTAACCCAGTGGTTCTTGAGAAGATTTTTTAAGATTTTTCCTATATATTCCTATGTAAAACTTGGGTCAGCCATTTTGGCCCCGCCCTAGCCCCGGGGCTCATGATTTGAACAAACTTGAATTTACACTACCTCAGGATGATTCCACATGAGTTTCATCTTTCCTGTTCTAGTGGTTCTTGGGAAGAAAATTTTTAAAGATGCATATATTCCTAAAAACTTGGGTCAGATTTTGGCCCCACCCTACCCCGGGGGTCATCATTTGAACAAACTTGAACCTACACTACCTGAGGATGATTCCACATGAGTTTCATCTTTCCTGGCCCAGTGGTTCTTGAGAAAAAGATTTTTTAAAGATTTTTCCTATATATTCCTATGTAAAACTAGGGTCATTTTGGCATTGCCCCGGGGGTATCATTTGAACAAACTTGAACCTACACTACCTCCTCCACATGAGTTTCATCTTTCCTGCCCAGTGGTTCTTGAGAAGAAGATTTTTTAAAGATTTTTCCTATATATTCCTATGTAAACTAGGGTCGGCCATTTTGAAAACAAATTGCCCCGGGGGTCATCATTCAAAAACTTGAATACCTCAGGATGATCACATGATTTTCATCCCTAGCGGTTCTTCAGAAGAAGATTTTTAAAGATTTTTCCGATATATTCCTATGTAAAACTTGGGTCGGCCATTTTGGCCCCACCCTTGCCCTGGGGGTTATGATTTGAACAAACTTGAATCTCCACTACCTTAGATGCTTTGACATGATTTCATCTTTCCTGGCCCAGCGTCTGGAGAATAAGATTTTTTAAAAATGCCATTTTTTTAACAAATTCATGATTATTCATTGGAAAAGGGCGTGGCCCTCATTTGAAAAACTTGTCCCCTTTACCCAAGGATACTTTGTGCCAAGTTTGGTTGAAATTGGCCCAGTGGTTCTTGAGAAGAAGATGAAAATGTGAAAAGTTTACAACGACGACGACGACAACGACAACAACGACGACGACGACAAAGATTTGATCATCTCACTAGGTGAGCTAAAAATTATAAGTCGGCAACTGCAAACAAAGAATTTTTAAAGCTTGGCCTTATCGATAACTTTACCATTAAACTCCAAGGACCCAGCATGCATCGTCAAAGTTTGTTGATCAAGGCCAATAAGTAACGTTGACTTACTTGTAAGTGAACATATGTGGTCTCAATTAGTTGCCTCAATTGACAATATTTGATTAATAAACCTAGTCCTTATAGTAAGCAAATTATCAAACTTTTAACACAACATCCAATTTTCAATTTGCTTCAGAAATCTCTTCAGTATTATAAAGTTTTCAATGGGGAGGTGGGACTTGAATATTAAATTATTCTTCCATATCAATAAACAAATATCTTTGCTGTTCTTGTGCATATTTTTTTATTCATAAGAAAAAAATTGATCCCCCACTGTGGCTCATCCACGCCTCTGGTGACCTTGATTTGCATCAATTTTATTTTAAACTACCTGGGGATGCCTCCAAATCAAAATGAATAAGCATGACTTTTCCGTTCTTTAGAAAAAGATTTTTTTTTCCTTGATATATTTATGTAAATCTGATTATCCCCCTTGTTGAGGAGGAGATTTACAACCCTATATCTTATATATAAATAGTGACCCTTGTGGCTCAAGGACTCCCTGTGACAAATTTAAAAAAAAATGATTGGCTCACTATCTGGTTCATTGTACATATGACACATCATTCTACTTAAAGTGAAACCCACACCTCTCACTTGAATATAATAGGCCATGTTTTGCTATGGTAAACTAGCTCTTCAAAATTAAAATAGGAGGTGCATAATGGCCATATGTAATAAAAGTTCTGTGAAAGTCTATCAAATGTCATTCAGTGGTACATATTGTATGAGAGAAGTTGTGGATAAGAGTTTAGTACCCCCAAAGTGTAACAGACGACAAATATACGGAGAGACAATTGTACATCCCGATTACTATTTAGTACACTGTATATACCCTCACAGTTTTCAAGCATGGGGTATAATAAAATGCTCAACATCGACATCTAGGATAATTTAATGAATCGTTTCAACTGAAATTTAGTGGTCATTTCCTTCAATTCCTTTCAACATTACCTAAGATATGAATTAAACCTGCATTATCAGATATGCTCCAACAGATCAATTAAGGCAGACTTCTTCAAATACATTAAATTCTACCCTAAGTCTTTGATAAAAGCAATTTTGCTTCTATCAAAAATTAAATACACATGTAGACCCTTTACATTTTGAACTCTTGAACTCATTGAAACTATGAATTTGATCCCTTCTGTCACGGCATAAATAAAATTACTCTACTTTTATGATAAATTAGTTGTCTCAACATGTTTGTTGTATGATGTCATTCTACATATATGTTGTTATTAGAGAAAAACAAGATGTGTTTGTGAAACACTATATGCATCTCACAGCAACAAAGTTCTGAAAAGCTATTTTTATCGTGTAGGTAACAGTTAAGATTAATGTCATTGACCTTAGTGATATTTGAAAGAACTAAATTAGTGGAGTATGCATTCTAAATATGAGGTTTCTATCTCTCATGGTTCAAAAGTTATGGTGAAGGTTCAAAAAAGCTGTTTTTAGCATATAGGTCCCATTCAAGGTCACAAAATCA